AAGTTGCCAAAGCATACATTTTTATAGTTTCTCAGAACATGGAACAATGCCTGGGAGATATTTGACAATACCTATGTTGCCAGGGGCGAGAGAAGCCTCCCTGCGGCAGTATTTGTAGGCATAATTAGGAATGGTCTACCCTGTTTGTGTGTGGGGTTATGGTCTATTATGTTGGGATGATAATTTACCACAAAGAAAAAGAATTTTTCGAAAGTACCACTTAATCTTATTAAAACTATCTTTTAAATATTGCTAATTTATTATTTGGAAAACACATGACACTAAACCTTCCATTTTTCATCTTTCCTCATGATGAACACAACCCCTTGGCATCAGAAAACAAAGACACGATGTCAACCTTCAGGTAGAATAGAACACACACAATGGAATGGGAAAGCATGTTATTTATTGTCACTTGCAAGCTGAAGTGATTACATGACCTTGGAAACAAATATCAAACTTTATTTCCCCTATTAGTGTTAATTTTAAAGTATCCAAGTAAAATTCATCCAGTAACATAAGATTTTATTTTAAACATAGATCGTCACTTATTTTTAACCTTTCTGTTTGGAAACAACTTTAATGTACAGGAGATTGATAGTGTGGGCTTCTGGGGGCTCCTGTGGACAGTGTGCATGGCTGTGGGACAGTGATCTAAACTAGGAAACTACCATGGAACGTTTCTATTCATTGAATTGTGGACTTCATTTGGAATTCATTAGATTTTCCACTAATACCCTTTTTCTTTTTTAAAGATTTATTTTATTTATGCATGCAAGAACTAGGGTGTAGGCCAGAGGGCCGGGTGCAGGGGTGAGAGGATTCACCAGAAACAGAGTGGGAAGCAGAACAGGCAGGTCTACTGAGGTGTGCAGTGGGCAGTCAGGAGAGGGCTGCTCTGCCATGTGGGTTAGTTCCTTGGCATCTAACTCAGGCCACCACACATAGTGATATGACTTGTCACCTGTGATATAGAAAACCTATACCGCCGCCCCTTCCCCCCGCCCCTCCCAATGTGCATGCTCTGTTCTTTGTCCTGGGGATGGGATGGGGTAGGTTAAATCTCCCTCTTGGAGGGGAGAACATGGAAGAATTTGTGGACATGAGTTAAAACCACCAGGGTGATTCAGACATATTTAAGGGGACATATTTGAGGTGATACAAATATCCTTTTCTTCCTCACACCGTCACCTATCATTCAGTGGATCTTGCCTATAGCAATTATGATTGTATGTTCTAGTGGTTCCAAAAGCCTTGTCTTATTTCTTTATTCAATCATTTATATCAGTGTGGACTCATGGGTTTTATTTTGAGAATCATAAATGGTAAAGCATTGATCTGCATCTACATCCTCCCCTGCACACTGTTGTTAATGGATGTTATATCCCCTCTTGGAGATAATGTAGAGTAGGAACAAGAAACACACACATGTGTTCATTACTCTTCAACACACAATTATCTTCATGTTGCTGACAGGAGTGTCTAGGTACTGATTTGAGATTTTGGAGCAAGAAATAGTGGTAAAAGTCAATCATTTAAAGAAATAAAATTACCAGTAGAGAGGAACTAAGCATGGTGTAATTATCAAAGATTGGATTAGGGAGACAGTGGTGGTATATGGAAACCAAATTCTTATCTTTCATAGGTGAGTCAGTGATACTATCTACACTCAAAACATCATAAAATCAATTTATCATGTAATGTGTAATGCTTTAAGTAAGTTGCCTTTTCAGTATAAGGAGCTTTAATGAATGGTATTGGGGAAACAAGGAAGGTTTACACAAAATATGTTGGATCCCTACCGCAAGGAATTTCTCCAAATATTTAAATGCTAAAGGAACAAGTAAATTATATAAAGAATTTATGGAAATTTTTTTCTTTGATCTGGAAGTAGCAATAACCTTGCTAAATATAATATTGAATGCAGAAACATTGAAAGAAAAAGTGATACATACAATTACATAACATTAAAGAAATCATTTGGAAAAATTCATACCTCAAAAAATAACTGAAAAAGTAAAACATTGGGCTAATTTCACAGTCAAAGTCTAATTATCCAAATACAGAAGGAGCTAACAATCCATAAGATACAAGAACATACAGCCAGTGGGAAAATAGGCAAGTAATAGGAATAGAACACTCACAGAAATGGACACGTAGATTGCTCTCAAACATAAAATACCTGCTTGTACATATTTATGAAAATTCTTAGTTAAAATAACACTATAGTATATTTCCATTGACCACATTGGCAAAAATCAAACCGCTTGATGACTCGGGGGTTGGCAGGGATTTTTTGGGAAGTCCTTGTCTTGTGTAACTGGTGGGAGTGTAAGCTGGTATAACCTTTGAGGAGGGCGGTTTAGCAATACCTTTCTGGTTTACAAATGCAAATGCTCTTTGACCTAGAAACCCCGAGTTTAAGCGTGTGCACTAAACCTGCTTGCTTCTTTGCAGTGTGATGTGCCATGGGGGTATTAAAACATTGTTTATAATTGCAGATGTGGAGAGCTGTGGAGTCGAGGTTACTGAAGGACTAGAAAGAAACATTGTGGGCTTTTAAGGAACAAGGGTCTCTTGCACCCAAAAGGGAGTATGTTTTTGCTGGCAGGACTAAATGCTCAGACCGTGTACAAAGAAGGGGGGTGTGTGTGAAAAAGTATGGAGGCGGGGTCTGTGGGGTATATAAGGAGGGAATTGGAACAATAAAGGAGCTAGCTTCCTTTTGCCTGTGAATCGTGTGTGCGTTCGGGCGTGTGGGTGTTCATGGAGGCTGTACACCACTATTTGTTTTCAACTCTAGGAAGAAATTGGAAGCACCTTCTGTATTATTAGATGATAGTCTGTATGTTAATAAGCAAAACAAGGGGTATAATGTATGTGAGCTATTATCCGCCCAGAAAGATAGACAGGGAGGAAGGCTAGAGGGAGAAAGGAGGAGGAAAAGATGAAGAAGAGAAGAAAGTTGCCTCTGGGAACTTATATTGGCAGAAGGGGGTGGGGAGATTGCAAGGAGATTATGGTTTATTACCATTTGTTTAGTTTACTTTGACTGAAGGAAAATGTCAGTTGCGAAGGCCATGTAGCAGCATGTGTGACACAGTTATAAGATCTAATATTTGCCAAGATACCGCTGAGTGTTCCTATCACTGGTTCTCAGCGCCTGACATTTTCCAAAGGATTTATCAAGAGTCACATGGAATTCTGTGCATTCGCTTCGCACTTCAGAAACCAGACCAAGATGCGAGCCGCAATGTTGACACTATTACAGCCCTGATCTTGGATGTGCTGTGTTATATTAAAGGAACTAAACCTCAGTAAACTGAGGCACTTCAGCTATGATTAATAACAAGTTCAGCGGGTGACAACAGCCCAGCTGAGAGCAGTGAGTAGGGACTGTCATTCTACCTTATAAAACGTGCGTGCATGGAACAAAAAAAAAAAGAAGATGGAAGCAGTGCAAATAGCCGTATTAGGGATTTTGCACACTTGCTTGATTCTACACTCCTGAAAGCTTTTCCCCTCCTTTTTATACAACAGGTGTGCCGAGGTGTAACTGGCATACGACATATTGCACATGTTTGAAGAGTTCACTTTTTCGATTTTTGCATTGTGCATGCCCCTCTGAACCCACAGTCAAGACAGTAAACATATCTGTCCACCAGGGGATGGTCTTTGGTGTCCCTCATACTTCCCAGTTCTCCTAGCCTTGCACCCCTAAACAACCTCCCATCTGCTCTCTGTCACTAGAGGTTAGTTTGCAGATTCTTTATACGTCAGAGGTCTTCCTGTTCCAGAGCCATTGCCTCCCACTGTCACGGATGGGGACAGACTGCTGGAGGCAGAGCAGTCTTGTCTGAGACTGATGGGAGGAGATACCTGTGGAATGGAAAGGCCCA